TTGCAAAGGTATGAAATACAAGCTAGCATGGGTTTGTCACTTTTGAGTCGCATTGAAAAACTGTCCTAAAGTTAGATCTTAAAAATTCTCATGTGTCTGTATTTTCTGCAATACCTTATTGTTGTAGAATACAACTGTTCTTTCATATTCATCATAAATGCTGCCTGTGATAAGCTCTCAGAAATGCAAGGTGGGGGGTGGAATGTATTTGGGACAGAGGGCGGCTCCTCCTGTCCCCTTGGTTTATAATGACACCTTGCTTTGTCGCTCAGATGTACAGGTGACCCCGCAAGCACTTCCATGCCATGATGGCATGTGCCTTTTGCAGCTTTTCTGAAAGGAAAAGCTGCAAAACTTCGTAACTCCCGTTGCCAGAATGTTAGATTTTTAGAAAGTTATGATTTAAAACAAAATTCAAGCACTACCAAGAATTTTTTAGCAGCATGACTACAAACTTAGCAATCGATTTTATTGATCGGTTCAAGTAAGAAATTCACAGAAATATAACACCTAAGGCCAAAAAACCTATAGAATGAGACATCAATTGTTAAATTTCATTTCCTATAGAAAACTCCCAGTAATATACTCAGGGAATTTAACATACTATCAGTCACAGCTGTGAATAAGAAATTTCTATTTTAAATCTTCAGTAGACCATACTTAATAATTTGAAGAGCAGACCATGTATAATAACTGTTGGCCATTTTGAGAACTATCTGAATCCCCAGTAAGGAATAGTTTTATTTTAACCTTATATAAAAAGGCAGACTTAGTAGCTAACATAATGCTTGACTATTTCACAAAGTTAAAAGTTAACTGGGAAAGAATTGTGTGAGAGGTGACCACTCACGTCTAATGTTAATTACACTGGTGAAAATTGCTACTGGTCTCCAATATGAGCAGATACATTAGGTTTTATAATTGTCTATCTGTCAGTAGGCAGAATTCACGAGGACTGTTTAAGGTGCTTAGATGAAAAAGCTTATAGGGTATTCCTATAATGTAAAAGACTAAATATTGCATGTACACAATGTACCAGCTTTTCTGTTTTGTGCCTCAGCCTCCCTATCAAGTCTGTTAGATCCCAAATAGAAAGATAAATTCCAAGTTAAACAATCTTTTCCCAGCCCTCTCCCTTCCCAGAAGAATGTTTTGTCATGTATATGTCATCTTTTGATCCAGGTTGTACTTGTAGCATTTCTCCAATGGGGTTGTTGATAAAGGAATAATAAATACTATTTATATGCTGTGCTCATACTCTACAGTTCAGTACTGTTGAAGCATCATGTGCCACTGATGGATTATATAAATTCTCATCTATTTGCAGGTAAATGGTATTCCTGAGGAAAGAAAACTAACAGAAGCAATGAATTTGTAATCAAAGAAGGCAGCAAATTGTCTCACTTCCTTATTTGTTCTGGTTGATGCATGAGTTTTTCTGGTGTATATTGTGCATGCCCACAGTATTATGATGCTTTCAGTGCCAGGAGTACAATCACTTCCATATAACTGATGTACTGTATCCTTTTGTACTTTGGACATTTTTGACAATTTGTAAACACTGATAACTTTTTATATTTGTTACATTCAGAAAGTAATCTTTAATGTGTATATATATATATACATATATATATATATATATGTATGTATGTGCATATATATATATATATATGTATTAATAAATATCAAGCTTTATTCTGTCTTGTGATCTCTCCTGAAAGTTTTAACAGGGAAATCAAAACTTCAGAGATTCAAAGGATTTCAGACTGTTAATGGGATGACATAATTGCCTAACATTTGCACAGGAAAAGCATGAAAACTTGTGCAACATGATGAAACTCATAAATAGTATTGCACATATATTAGGTATTAATTTTTTTAGAGATTACCAAATATAATGAGCAAAGTTATTTTTGAAAAATAAAGAAATAACTCCCCAGAGAAAATAACTAAGACTATTCATGATAAAAATTGGATTTCTGTTCTTTTACCAGTTATTTACACTATTTCAAAACTTGTAAGCAATAAATCATTTAAAATCTGTCCATTCATTCATCTGGTTATGTTAGAAGAAACTTTTAAACTACAGTAGGCAAAAATTAATGTCTGCAAATAAGCAAGGTTTTAATTTGGTACAGTATACCTGGACTAATTCTTTAAAAACACTTAAAATTCTTTTGGGTGATATTTCCAATAAACAGGCTGAATGTTGTTTATTTTTTATATCCCCCATATTTTTTTTTCTTTTTGGAGTGCAAACTGTTGTGGGAGAATTACGTATCCGGTAAATCAGGGAGTATATTTTCACATTTTAGAAAGGACCTAAAAGGCATACTTTGCTGGGAGGTGGTTTCTTTGAGAGGCATTTGTCCATGCAGCTGAAAGCTTAATAATATATTAAGCTCAGATCCTTTGCTAAAAGGGTCTGAACTGGGGTTTCCTTATTTTTCAATAGACAACTATAATTCATATACTGACACTTTTCACCAGATTTTAAATTAATTTCTGATGCTTCTTTAAATCTTCTAATTTAAGGACATCACACAAGACTTCAGGGTCTGCAGCTGTAACAGCTGACACCAAGAGTTCTTGGGGTTTTACCTCAAAGCATGGTATTGTTTTAAGCTGACACTTACACTTTGTCTTTTTTTCTGTAATATTTTCTCTTTCAGAAGCTGTATGTTCATCAGGACATTGCATTGTAAGCAGAAAACTGCGTCTGCTTTAAAATTGCATTTCCTTAGCTGAGGTTCCTGAAGTCTCTGCTAAGAGAAATTTGAGTAATTTTGGAATTTAAGACTGAGGATAAAAGGAATCTGTCAAATGAGGTCATTTTGTAAGAAGACCAAAGTAGTTGGTTTTGTGGTTTTTGGTTTGTCTTTGTTTTTCTCTTTTTACAGTTATGACCCAGTTCTGTCAAAACACAGAACCTTAATTGACATTAATTTTTAAGCATCAATGATGTGTTTGTAGGCTCGGACCTGAATGCAGGATCTCTGCAGACAGAACAAGTCCTGATCTGCTTTTTTAGACTAATTTGTGCACCAGCTATGACTGTGGCAGCAAAGTATATAAGCAGTGCTCAGTACGTGGTACCTAGTTGAATATTGTCAACCTTCAGTATCAGTTTACAAAGCTGCTCTGCATGCTCAGCACAGCCCACAGGACGTGGCAGCAAATCCTGAGGGTGGTTGTTAGACCAGGAGAGGTAGCTCAAGCTCCAGGCATTCAAAGTTGAGATATAAAAGGCAGTTCCTGAAACAGGTGAAATAAAGAGCCATTCCTACTCCATCATGCCTTCCTACCTCATCCAAAAGATACCAGGGAAGAGACTTCACCAGTCAATCAGCTTCCTCAGAGACACCCCCCTTCTTTCCAGCAGCTTGGATGGTTATCAGTGAAAAGTGAAACAAAACTGCACACTGAAGTTTATAGTAAATTAAACATTTTCATCTCTTACCCAAGGTGTATAAAAATTCAAGTACAATCAGCATTTGGCTTCTATTAGTTTGTACTACTATTTTCAAATGTATCAGCTGTCAGTGTTTTGAAACCAAAATGAATGGAATGGATTTTAAATAATGATTTTTAATGCAACGTTAGATTAAACTTTGTAAATAGTTCTGGGTGTGGATCACAGTAATTTCTGATAACTCCAGGATGACATGACAATCAATGGATCTACCAGTTGAGCTGCTCCCACCTTATTTGTATTAATGTAACAGTGCCAATATATTTAAGGAAATAAACTGTTACATACATGCATAAAGAATCAGTTTGTAGCAGTGGAGGCTCCACCTATTTTGGAAAGAATCTAATGATGTAGGTCACTCAGGTATTAAGAATACCTGAACTATTTTATGATTGAAATCGTCATTTATCTGAGGTAAGTTTAATAAAAAATTATTTATTTTTACTTATTAAAACAATTTCTCTGAAAGCATAGATTTATAAAGCTGGTTAAAGATACCTAATGGTTAAAGAATTAGTAATAATTAAGACAGTAAATTCACAGTCTCTTTTAACATTATATGATGGCAATATGAATTGATATTGTATTAAGTTGCAACCAAATTAAATAGAAAGCCCTACAGGTCTCTTTGTACATACATGAAATGTATCATCTAATAAAATGGAAAACACAAAGTAATGAAGTTTTTGTCTGATTATTTTACAAAAGGGTGCCTGAACAACAGGTTTTAATGTTCCAGCCCCAATACTGCATGGTTGGATCTGAGACCTGGAGTGGAGCTAATGTTGCAGGGTTTGTTTAACTGGGGATGATGCCTAAATAGATGTCCTAACTGGAGAGGAGGGAGAGGATTTGCAACACTTAATGTGGGCACCTGTATCTCCCTGATTACAAATCAGGAGCTTTGGGGATCACATGCTGAGGTGGGAAGGGACTCATCAAGATCATCGAGTCCAAGTGCCAGGCCTGCACAGGACCATCCCCAAGGGTCACACCAAATGCCTGAGAGCATTGCCTAAATGCCTGTTGGACTCTGGTAGCCTTGGCACTGTGACCACTTCCCTGGGGAGACTGTTCAGCCACTCTGGGTAAAGAACCTTTTCCTGATATCCAGCCTGAACCTCCTGACACAACTTTAGGCCATTTCCCTGTGTCTTGTCATTGGTCACAGGATTAAAGAGATTGGTGCTTCCTTTGCTTTCCTTCTATTGAGAATAGGATTGAAGTAGCTCAAGTAGAACCTAAATTCCTTAACTAAAGCAAGTCTTAAAGATGGGCTTGATGTTGCCAGACCAAAGGAAAGCCAAGTCAGTTCCTCTGCTTTCCTGCAGAGCTCTGCTGCAGAGTTCCTGGTAGGGAAAGTATCCAGTGCCTCTGCTGCAGAGTTCTGCTGAAGGCCCCCGAGCTCCGGGCTGGCTTTGGCTACTGGAGCTGTAATTTCAGAGCAGGGACAGTGCAATTTACTGCAGAGCAATCTTCCAGCATTGCACCTGCCTTAGTTTGTGATAGTGAACTGCAGTGCAACTACAGACAAGCAGTAGAGAGTTTTTACTTAAATGATGCTGCTCCCATTACAAAAATAAGCATCCACAGCACATTTATTTAATGTTTAAATTACTTCATATTTTTACATAACCTGAAAAGAAAATATATTTATCCCACATACAGTAATAGTAAACAAGTGCATTATTTCAAACATTAAAAATAAATCTTTTAACCAAGTCTGTACAACAGATAAATAGAGTTATATCTACAATAGTTATGTTGTGAAGAACAAAACAAAAATTATCCCTCAAGCTCACAGTTCTCTGTTGCTCATAATACTGGCATAGATGAAGGTTATGCTTGCTATCCCCCCCTACAGTGTCCACCTACACCCTTTCCTTCAGTCATCAAATGTATTGATCAACGAGGTTAAATTCCCAAGCACTGGAAGCAATATGCACACAGAACAAACAGCTGAGTATCGTTCCAGTATCTTGAAAACAGCTGGCAGGCTTAGCAAAACTGCTTAACTTGGGGGAAGTGAATGATTTCTTTTTTGTTTTTTATGATGCATGACTAGTTATTCTTTAAAAGAAACTTTTCTCTGCCACACACAAAAAATTAAAAATTGAAGTAATTATTTTCATAAATTTGTTTTGCATTCATTCATGGCTGCAAGATTGAATTCAATGTTTTATCTGGGATAAGAACAAAAACATATATGTGATAGTATGTATGGTACAAATTAGGATTTATGTTGTTTATTATACATAATTGCACATATGCTTGGAAAATAATATTGTGCTCATGTTTTTGCCTGCTAACAAATAATCAGAAGAATAAAATGAAAAAGCAACTAGAGGTCAAACTATTACTTGAACCAAACCCACAACCAACCAAGAGATGTCCCTAACTTCACTGATCATAACCAACAGCTTGTCACTGCCACACTGAAGGACTATTTATTTCAATTAAAGTTTTTGCTAAAGGAAAAAATTAATAAGAAAGATTGGGCACTGCTAAAAAGGATGGAAAAAAATGTTTTTTTCAAACAGCTCCAATCTCATTTCACTCGTAATTCTGAGACTCAACCACTTGCATGCAAGAAAGTTGACCACTCAATTCCTCCTCCTCATGATACCAGCAGACTGACTTGCATTCTCTTAAATGAAAATGCTATTACAGCATAGAAAATGGCACCAGTTCCCTAATGAGACCTTATTCAAAGTCACCTACAAACACAGGGAGAAGGTCAAAGATCACCATTCCCCTAAGATCTCATGGAGTGGATGTGATGTGACTCCATCTGACTGAAAAAGATTGGAGGGTCTTCCAAAAACCTCCCATCTTGAACTGAGTCTCTGAAAATTATCAACTTGTTTGTTCACTGGGATTGTACATAGAACTACACACAGTTCAATGAATTAGTGAAAAATTTATGAAAAAGCAAATAATTTTAGGAAGAAAGCCCAAATTCTCTTTATAAAAAAATTTTGTCTCAGAATTCACCCTATTTGCTGAACACATCTTAAATTTCTAAAAAACCCTCATAAAATATTATGTAAACTTGTATATAATCTTCAATCACTGAATTGATGATCAGTTTTAACTTCCACACATAAAGGGTTTCACGTGACATGTATTACTATTTCCACCCCAAACACTAATTTCTAACCAGCAAGTTACCGCTTTGTTCAGAGCCGCGCCCTGGTGTCGCTGCCTCAGCTGCGGGCGGTGGTTCCGGAGGCTCCCGAGGCTCCCGGAGGCTCCCGAGGCTCCCGGCTGTGCTGGGCGTGCTCCGGAGCAGCCCCTGGCCGTGGGCTCGCCCAGCGCCGGCTGAATCCTGTCATGTGCCTGTGGTACTGCTCGACCACTGCACTACTTCGTGTCTCATTTCAACAGATATGTAAACAGAAACAAACATCCAGTAGAAAAGACTCATTTTCACATGCAATTCTGTACAGTGCACTCTTGTTTCTCAGATTATTTGAGAAGGATATTTCCACACAAAATATGTACATTTCCACTATATACATTTTCCACACGCTTAATTTATATGTCATGTTGTACCTCCAGTTGAGAATTTTTGTTCAGGCAGACACAAAGTAAACCTGAAGAAAGTTTCTAAGTTAATGCCTTGACTGGTCTTGCATTGCAGAGAAGAAGTGTAGTCCAGAAAAAAATCCAGCTATGCATAGCAACCTCTTCAGCAGAGTTGAGTTATCTTTAGGAACCACAATCTGTGCTAGATCATTAGTGATCTGAGAAATCTCATGTGCCACGCACACAAATATGAAAGTGCTGACAAGAACATTAAACATCGGATATCCAGGAATGAGCACCAAGATCCCCTTTGTGTCTGCTGCCAGCCAAATATGGTATTGGCAAATGAAAAGCTAAAAGAAAAAAAAAAAGTGTTTAACAATACTTAGATATGTAAATATTTTTACTTACCAAAAACCATATTATTACTATTGCATAAATTGAGACACTTCTGCTTAAGTTAGAAGCTGTTTTCCACATGTCTTTGCTACAGAAGAAAACCATGAGCTTGTTGAATCACACAGTGAAATGGGTTTGCTTGGCTCAACCAAATATAGCTCAGGGGAGCATTGGATACATTCCATCAGAGCAGGGAAAAATCTGCCTCCCTCAGTTAGTGTCTCTCTGAAATTACATGCTTGCAAATAAAAGAAAATGCTTCACCTGCTGATGAATCCACAGCTCCCAGGAGCTGATGAGCACCTAAAGCCCATCAGGAAGTGGAACAGTGAAATGTGATGCTTTAAAAAAACCCACAAAATTCTGTACTCCATATACCCTATATTGCAATGAGTTTCTCCTAGAAATATATTTTAGTAATACAAGAAAATGTCACATTTAATATCACTGAACAGCAAATAAAATAGGAAGCGAGATAATTCCTACTGTTTCAAAATACACACTCAATGGAACCAGGTAACATTTGCATTAAGAAGGGGTTTACTGGTACATTTCTTTGTTAGTCACAAAAAGCTTTCTAGGGCAAACACACGTTTATACGTGTACTTACACTAGTAAGTACACGTATAAACGTATAATTCATGCAAATTCTTCAACTGGCCTAAATTTTTTATCTTCCAACTGCATACACCTCACACCATACTCCAAGATTTAATCCCCACTCTCACAACCTTAAATCATCCCATTCCCTAAAACAGCACAAGATTTAAGCTTGGTACTGTGAGACTGCTATTTCAGCCATGATTTTTAAGTGCAACAAAAGCTATAATGCTAAGAGAGGTCAAACATGACAGAGTGGTATTTAGTAAATCAATAAATGTTTTCTGTATGTGTTGTAGCCCAATATAGACCATAACACCACCTTACATTTCTAATTTTAATTCACTGTACTTCTGGTCATGACACTTACCTCTAAAGAAATTTTGCCGAACCAGGCAAAGAATGAGCTATACACAGATCGGACATATCCGGGAATGTTCCTGATGAGGATGAAAGCTAAAATCTTTGGATTTATAAAAAAAAAAGAAAAAAAAGAAAAAAAAAAAAGGTAAAACAGAGAAAGTGACTGTGGATGACAAGCCAAACAAACACAGAAAAGTTGTATCCATTTTCACTGCACTAAGTGAAGTCCATCATGCATTAAAATTTCTTTAAAAGCTCATAAAAATATAAACCAAACAAAAATAAAAATCCATGCAATTTATACTTAAAGTAGGTATTGAAACTAAAAATACTGTACACACATTCTCACAGCATAGCAGGTCACATTTGCAACTCCGTTAGAATCATGGCCTTGATGCTGACAGGTATTACTACATGCTTACTAGGCATGGTCACAAAACATGTTACACCATGCTAGCCTAAAATGAAGGTGGCTACAAATCTGAGTTAACCCTCAATTTTTAAAGAGAGGGTGTCAAGATGGACAAAATAACATGAAAAAATTAAGTCCCTCTTCCTGCCCCTCAAGAGAGCAGGACAAATTAAGGAGAAAAGAAACAGGGCACAAAATGAGACAGTTGGGGTATAGTGGAAGAGGGGACCCAGCAAGAGGAACATTTAAATTTCAGGAAACCACGTGCATGGCTCTGTGGCCCACCTCTTCTCTGCCTGAAAGTGACTTCAGGGTCCCATAGGTTGCTTCCTACACTAGTACCTCCCAAGCAATCCTGTTTTTCTACACCTTTCTCCTCTCCCACAGCCTTTTTCTTTTCCAGTGCTATGCAGATAGCCAAAAGGTGGGTTTGGACTTAAATGGCGCATTGAAACCAACACCAAGGACACCCAGATAAATCAAAACCACAATCACAGTGTTCAATTTCAGTGCCTAAAGGCAATGAAAAACTGACTAATGTTGTTAAACTCTTTTTCACTTTCAGACACAGGAATGAAGCTCAGTATCTGGCATTCCATGCAAAAGCACAAACAAATTTAAAAACATTTTTTTAAAAAGCTCAAATAAGAACAGACTAGATTCTATCACTGTACTCAAAAGGACTAATAATTACCTGCACCACAGAAACAGAGGGATGTAGCTCATTGCACTCTGTCTTGTTTTTACAGCTACTAGCCCAAATAGAGTAGGTCTAAAAGATAATAAAAATTAGTCTGTGTAGCAATTATATATTACATTTTAAAATGAAACAAGAGTATGATATTTTGAATTGCTTTAGTATTAGTTAATTCACTAAGATGTGGGACACTAAGAGAAAAAAACTACATGACTTAAGGTTTGTGTTTCTTTCAAATTCTTTTTCGCAACTGACAAAAACTTATCTGATGAATAATTAATACAACTTTTTTCATCAAAAATAAACAAGCAATCAAGTGTGGAGATAAGAGCTGTGTTATGTACCATGTTATTTTTACGATCCAATTTTCTTATAAGCTTTGCAATGAACTGAAAGAGTAATGATGTTTTCATCTACATCTGACTGAATAGAAAAATATTTATTGACTATATAGGTAGGGCTGTACAGAAAAACCCAGTTGAAATATCTCCAAATAAAGATTTGATTTTTCAACATTTGTATTAGATAATATTGACTAAAAAGGACTTCAGAAAACTTATTTTTCAGATATTTACAAACCTGATTATACTAGGCTATAAAAAGATACTTACCAAAAAGGACACAATTGAAATAAATAATAAAACATTTGAAACTCTGTTGGAGAAAAGAGGATCTCCTTTTCCCTCTGATATCATCTGATGTTTCTGCAATGCCAGATAAATAAAAGCAAACAGCATCCCATGAAAAACCACCTGTAAAAGACAAACAGAATGCAATTAATATTTCATGGCTTTTACAAGTCATTCAGGTATAAACACTTAATAGAAATGCTACCAGATAAAGCAGTTCTAAAGCTATGTTTCAAAAGGTCCTTTCCCAGATTTACTGAAGCAAACAAAACCAGACTTTCTACACAAGATAGTCATAAACTGCATTTTTAACTCAACTAAAAACCTACAAATAAAGAACCTTTACTAATGCTTCAGAGAGCATTAAAGACAAGACAATTACATTTCAAGAAGCTTTCAAGTACCTACTATCCCCTCTGCTATCTGTGTGACCACTGAGAAAAGATTTCTCTGGGGAAAAACCACAAGTCTCTGGCTTTCTCCCAAACTGGCAGGTGAAAACATCCAAGAAGCAGCACAAGAGCGTTCCTCTCTTACAGACACAATTCTTCAACACTTTTACAATCTTATTCGGAGCTCTCATCAGCTGGCAATGAGGCCGTTTCAGCCCCACTCAGTGCTTGTCCTTGGCATTTATTTTGAGCTCTGCTCTTCAGCAGCACCACCCAGCCCACAGTGCTCACAGCAGCCCAGCAGTGAGGGTGGGTTGGCAGACAGGGTGTGCTGCTGCTGGGCAGTGACAACGCTCTGCGACCCAGTGTGACGAGCCCATTAAGGGTAAGCTCAGCACACAAAGGCTTCCATCTTAGAAACTTCACTTACCTTGGCCAAGAAGGAAAGGAAAAAAGACCAAGGTCTCCCTGTTCTATTCCCCAACATTGCAGGGTCAATAACTGGCATTTTTCCAGTGGGAAACAATTTGAAAATATGTACAAGAGTAGTCTGGTTTGGGGACCAAGATCCTGATTTTAAGGTTGTAAATGCTACCCTAAAAGAAATATATCCTTAATTGATACGACTTCTAAAGAGTATTATTAAGAAAGCTACCACAGTAATTTTCCTTGTATTTCAACAGCCTGAAGTGCTACAGGTCTTAAATTTTCACAGTAATATTTTTGAGAAAAGACAGATCTAGGATACTTTATACTTCATTTTTTAAATCCAGAAGCAAATAATTCAACCTCCATCTTTTAAGCAAGGCTTTGATAGACACTTTCAGAACTACAGTAGGTACAGCTTAGTCTTTTATTAAACACTGGGGAAAATTCCTATTTTCTCTGGAGTGAAGGAAAACAACCCTCTCTCTTCCCACAAATTTAAACATACATTTAAAAGACAAGTAAAAATGTATGTGAATGTTACATACATAGCGATCCAGCTTCCACCTAAACCACCATTCATAGACATTCCCATTCAATTCAAAACACTTGGACAATGGCCAAAATGAAAATATCTTCTCAAAGGCACCCTGTAAAAGACAAACATGGAAAAAGCATTAACACTGATGTCAACTGTATTTACTAAATGTAAATCAATAACATGCTTAATATTATTCTACCCTTTTTTCACTAGCTACATGGCACTAGAAAAATAACAGGATTCCTTAGAAGCCTTTCCCCCACAAAAAAATAAAGAAAAAAGAAAAGAAAAAATCTTCACATGAGAGAGTTTTTCCGCACCTGAAGGTGTTTGCACGCCTTCTATATTGTACTGCTCCTCAAAGGGAGAGCTCCACTGACAGGCTGTGATAAGGAATATGCACTCCATATAAGGAACATGCACTCCAAGACTACAGTTCAACAGGCCGAAAAACAGTGAGGGATTAAAACCACACAACCCCCCTGTAGATCCTGGCTGGAGTGACAAACTCTGCCCTGCCTTGTGTCAGCTGTTCTTACAGCATGCAAGGAGTCACAGATTTATTCTGAAAACCAATCTTTTGATGTGGTATCAAAGCCAACACTAGGTCTCTAAGAGACACACAACTTCATTATCATCATATCACCATATGCATTCCCATATGCTGGAAAACCCTGTAACTCTAAGCATATAAAAAAACCTCACCCCAAACCCAAAGCATAGGTCTTTGTATTTACTACATTCAAGTAGTACATTGAAAATATGTCAAACATAACAAACCAATGAGTAAGACACACAGTTGTGGGTTTTTCCAGCACCCACCCCAATTAAAATATGAGAAGAAATCAAAATGTTCCCTTTTTTTCCCTTCTGTATTTATGATACAGGAGGCAAATACACAAGTTATGAGCACATCAAAAAGTAGAGACATAGGTAGGTAATAGTAGGTAATAATGCACTCTTAGGTCATTAAGGATAAATATAGTCAGGATTTACAAACCTGAGAATATGACAGAAAATATATACATGTCAGTAAGCAAATCAGTTTCAGCAGTAAACCAAAGTGCCATAGGCAGTTCCCTGAGGAAGAAATACATTAATCATTATACTGTCATTAATTTTTCAGTAGCAAACCCTAGGACACATTAAATAATAACTGCCAATTATTTAGTGTAGCTATACTTTGTAATAGATCCATTAATAAATAAATATTCAAATATTACCAGCAATATTTTATAACTATCTACATTTAAATTTTACTTTATGCCATTATAATAAACATTCACAGCAATTAAGAAGGTATATTAAGCCTAAACTAAGCCTCATGTCTCAGACAGGAACAAAATACATAAAGAAGAGAATTTAGATGTTCAAACAGAAACCCTGTTTTAAAACCTCTGCTTTCCTAAACACTGTGCACAGGTAGTCCTTATTCCAGGTGAATGTAAATAAATATATACATAAAAATGTCTGCCCTTTGTCTCGTGAAACAAGTAGTGTAAATATTATTAAATTCTAAGATACCAGTTTTACTCCAAAGTTCAACTGTAGGTCATCAAGGACAAGTATCTTGGTGAAACAAGCCTGAGACTACTCCTCAAAGCTGTCGACTGATATTAAGCTCTACCCAAGCCTCAACATTGCAAGAGAGATCATCTCCCCCCTCCTGCCATGTAAATTGGCAGCTGTAAACAGGGTCATAAACAACTGAAAGTTATCATTGAAAGATTTCCTAGTTTCACAGTACACTATTGCTCCAAAGTACACAAGACTCATTTCTCCGTTTCTGGAAGAGAAGTGTCTTCGTCAAAAAAAAAAAATTAAATTGAAGATATTTGTCTTTGAGATAGCTTGCAAAACTACTCTTTAGGTGTATTTTTGCAGCATCTATTCCTGGTATATATTTGGTAAGTTTCATTGTCATATCTTCAGGCTGTAAAATGGGAATCTTCCTCCATCAATAGGGAATGAGGATTTAAGGCTATTAGGGTTTTAATTCTAATTTAGGCAAATTAAATAATAAGCATTTACCACATGCTTTTTAATGAACAGCAACCCATAAACTGGAATTTAATTTCAATTTTTATTTAAAATATTTGTACCACAAGACATAGTTCTGATGGCTCACTTAATCTAAGGTATTAGGATAGCAAGTTCCACATTCTTATTTGGCCAGCAAGGGCAGAATTGGTGCTTAAGATGGACAGACACCTTGGCAACACAGAACGAGAAAGTCTAAACACTCCCTGTTCACACTGCACCCTTAGCACACAACAGGCACAGCCTCAGCCAGCACAGACAGTGCAAACTATGGTTTTCATTTCCATTCAGTACAAATTCTTGGTAAAACACATTTCTGATGATTAAAACCTATTCAAAAGTATTCTAATCTGACTGTAACCAGAGGCAGAGTTTAGTCATCAGCTGTTACATTTTTGAAATTGACCTAACTCACCCATGACAAACTGTATTTCTGTGAGCAGCTGTTTAGCATATTTTGAATAACAAAGAGACTGAGATCTACTAATAATGCCATTTCTGTATGACTATCGTTGTAGTAACATGCAAATGTTTTATAGCAGAAAGAAAAAAAAAAGAAATCTTACCATTTGCTTTCTTCTGGACAATCTGAGGCCATACAGCTAAGGTGGCATAAATAATCATAAACCAGACAGTGACTAATGGCACAAAATAGTAGAACTGGTAAGGTCGATCCATCACTATGCACAGTACTACAACCAAGAAATTGAGACGAAATAAAACCTGGGGGGTGTCAGAGGAGAGAAGACAGAGGATATGTAAACTGTGAGGCAAAGTTGTGAAAGATGAGGACATGTTCCTTTAGCACTATACAAAATATCAATGTATTTTACATTTCACATACTGATTACATTTCAATTGAAACACGGATAAAGTAGCACAAGGACAGCAGCAGAGCAATGTAAGACTGCAGGCTGATTATGTGCTTCTGGACCTGCCCTACCATAACCTGCCTGAGTAGAGATTGCAATGAAAATAAGGTTAACTCGATCTATTTCCCAGGCTGGAGACCAAGTACTCCCGTTACTGGATGCTGTTAATGTCTTTCTTTCACCCCCATAGCTACCTGGGCTAGCTCAGTTAAAGCCAGGGTAATGCCATTACCAGGCTGCAAAAATACTTTTAATAAGCACAGTGACCTGAGTTACAGGACAAGGTAAGATTTAACAGCAATAAAAGATGTGTAACAAAAATAAAATTAAAGCACTACAGCATATGCCGCAAAACCTAGGAGGGAAGTCACAAAATGACGTAAGTTCTCCAGTATTGTTATGGTGTGAAAATTATTTTTCTTTATTAATAAATGTAGGTTCCAATACACTGTCTTTGGAAGCCCACCCAGCTCATTATTTACATATTGCTATATACTGTAATATAATAATAAAACAGCAATGGATTCTCCATTTAAGTTTTTCATTTATTTATTCTACATTTAAGTTTGTATTAAATAAACACTACCAATTAAACAGATCAGATTACATAGACACAACAGCCATTTTTATTGTCTAAACCTTGGTAAAGTGATCACATTATTTAGAGTATGGATATATTATGGATACTTTGCTATCTGACAAATTTTTTTGGTAAAAATAGCAGGCAGGTATTCTTACCTGACACACTCTGTATACACCAAAGTCCCCTTTTATCCAAAAATATGAGAAGTGCCCATAACCTGTTTGAAACAGATACGCAGCAACCAGAACTCGAATGTGCATGTACACAGGCAAAAACTGTTGAGAAAAATAAGTACCTTTTATAAATGTCCAGTAAATGTTTTTGGCTTTCCTTTTCTCCCCCAACTTTATGCTACTTCTGCATTGCAGTAAATCAGATTTAACTAAGAAACACTGTGGTACATTGCCCTGTTTCTTACTAAGCTCTTTTGGTGTCCTAACCTCTGATGTTAAAATCAATTTTTTCTATTTATTGCTCTACACTTGCCATATTCTATTACTAGTTATGAAAGACTTGAGAAGGCCTCTTTGAAAGTTCACCTTCAGCAGTTTCCAGCTGCTAGCAATTAAAAAGAAATTCATATAATATTCTATACAGAGGAAACACTTTTTTCACTGGTCAAGTAACACAAAATGTTTTTATTAATCAAATCTACAATTAGAAAAACTAATTCTACTAACACCATGTTTAAAACCACAGAAACAATAGCATTATTTATTCATCCTATTCAGTTCTAATGCCTATTTATACTATCTTTCTTTTGAAATAACATACACAGATTGCATTCCCCCTAAAAGTAAAAGAAAATCAAATCACTTACAGTGCTTGCTCCAGAGATATGATAAATCAAAATAACAAGTTGCATCCAGCCCTTCCATTCATCAGTCTGTTCTCTATTTAACACTTTAGTCTAATGCAAAACAAAACAAGAATGTTGCTATTCCAAAAAGAACAAGGAACATCTACAAAATGAGGAGAAAAAGTTCAAAACAATAAACCACTTTATGGGTAAAGGGGTCTCAGCTGTAAAAGTCTTGTCTAGTGGGCACAGATTTAACGTTACTTAAATTCTCTTTTAGCTGAGCTCTGATCAATTCCAGTTTGAAAGAGTGAGAATCACTAAAGTGGTGACATCCATATGGCTTCAGAAAGCCTTTGTATCTAATTCAATGCAAACATTATACTGCTTGAGAAGGCATTTTTTTGCAGGTGAGTTATACTGACTTTGAAAAATTAACCTTGAATGCTTCGAAATTGGTTATTTTACATGCAAATTGGGAAACAACATTTTAAGCGGGATGTCAAGGCGATCATTACCTCTTTGGTATTTTCAGTATAAAATACCCCCAAAACCAAGATATAGACGATTGGTATGAAGAAAGATGAATGGGTGTAAAATTTATTTTCCTTCATGAAAAGATTTGCTCTGTCACACAGATAAAAATAGGTCATGATTAGACCAAGTTTGCAAAAGCAGTGTAAGAGCATCTCTAAAGTAGAAACGTTAGGTGTGCTGATGGCAGGTTTCTTCTCCTCTCCACTTTCCAAATCAGTGCATGATTTGTTCTTCCGATAATTATTCCGATGAATTAAGCTGATAATTAAATATCCAATAATGGACAAAGTAAAAAAACAGAAAGCTATCTTCTGTATCAGAGTGAGTGGAGGCTGAGGCTGGCAGCAGGAGCCATCAATGGGCTTCATTATTTTATTGCAGTAGACATTCATAAGAATCATTGCATTCTGTAAAAAAATAAGCAGTTTTGGTAATTAATTTCTAATGAAAAAGTTAACATTTCCATCAAAAGAAATTATCTTCTGCATCATGCGCTGACGTAAGACATGCAATTCTCTCTTATCATTATGAAAACAAAATCTTCCAGTCCCATCATATACCCAGTTGCACCCAACAGTCCAGTCAAAACACTTCTTCCAAATAAAAAATACTTGAGCTTCTTCTTGACATTTTAAGCAAAAACCTCTAATCTTAGAACAGAAGGGTTCTTTCAACTGGCTGTAGAAGGTCTATAAATAAAAAACAGCTCACAAACTTGGGTTCTAAAGAGGCACAGTAATGTAAGTCTCTAATACATCTCAGTGAGTCTGAAACATGTGGTAAGATGACATTCGGTTCATCCAGTACTTAAAATCAATTTAAACCCACAAAAAAAAGTAACATTATGAGAGAGCTCTTTCACAAGAAGGGCCGGCTGAAAAGCTCCGAGGGGCTCACTGCATGCATATACATATTGGTTAGTAAAAGGGAAGAAATAGTCAGGCACTCCATGCAACCAGGTAGGTCTATAGTGTGCATTTGTTATCTTCTTCATGCTCCTTACAAAACCAAATTTTCTGGACACATACGGGAAAATTTAAGACTTACTTCTTAGAACTGCATACAAGTCATTACCACCTTAACTCATTCATAAACATGAAAGCATGAAGTTTGCACTCAAGATCTAAAAGATCCAGTGGATTAACAGCTATTTAAAAATAGTTATCCACTAATGTGTTTGCTATTTTGTTTTTTTAAAATGCTTATAAAACTGACTGCACTCCTACCCACTGCAATTTTCAGAACAAAATTCCCTGATGAATGTGGTCCTCATTACACTCATACTGTTACAGTTTCAGAACATTCCCTTCAGATCTTCTTTTACTATTAACACTTTAATGTTGACCAGTGATAAAAACACTTACTGTATCTCTGCTTGATTCAGGGAGATGCAGGCCATCCACAGACTTCATGATAGTTTCTTGTGCTATCAATTTTGATACACTGAACACTTTAACTTTAGCTTTGGAATTTCGGGAGCTGCTGTTCAGAATACGAACAGCTGCTTCATTATAAGCATCTATTTTCTCATTAGTGATCATTTTCCGACTTTCACTCAGCATATCTTCATAAACAGGATCTGAATTTGAAGGGACAAAGAATGAACACATTAATCTTCCACTTATCAAAGAGCTTCCTTAGTTCAAGTTGCACAGGCTACTTTAATTTAAGAGGTCACAATTGTTTAATTGTAAACAGAAAAAATGTACAGCAAGGAATAAATGCTACAGTTACCAGAGCTGTTTATCATGAAATGTTCTTATCGCCATTCTCTATTAATGCATACGTAGTTGCAGACTAGAAAGCTCTGGCCAGATAAGAATGCTTGTTTAATTTCTCTGAATCCAGGAATAATAATAATACACATAGCACATAATGCTAGAGTGCAGTGCTACTTAAGCTTTCTCTCAGCAATGGAATCTCCTAAGAAAAGACTCCCAAGGAAAAAGGGCAGAAGACAGGTAGCAGAACAGACATGTGAAAAAAAAAAATTCTAAACCCCTCTTTTTTTCTGTGGAAAAAAACCAGCTCCTCATTTCTCATAAGTCATAGGCCATAAACATATTCTACTTGTTCATGCTGATTCCAGTTTAACTTATGGCAGAATGTCAGTTTTACAGGAAAAAAGTCAACTTAATTGCCTACAGGATTCAGAAATTATGTAAAGCTTAAAAGAAAGTGATGTGGGGTTCTAGATAAAAAGATCAGCTGGAGGTCTTTAAATTCCCGTAAAAAACCTCCTGCTGTGACACACTCTGTGAGATGCAGATTGCTTTACTTTAGGTACCTCATGCCTATGTTTGGATAATCAATGTTTTGACAACTCTGTACACACTGCTTCTCCTCCCACTTGGGCCATTAAAGAGCTCAGAGATTACGTAAATGGACTAGATCCTTAGCAATAACGTGGTGGGGCAAGTCTGGCTGCTAACTGCTTCTGGTATAAATAAACATGGTTTTGAAAGGAATGGGAGATTGATTTGTTGATTCAGATTTATCTCTAGAACCATCATAGGAACTTGATGTGATTGTAAGGGTACAGCTGGGTATATTGCTAACAGGGCACAAAATCTGCCTGTTTTTAATTAAGGTGATCACAATCTAAAATGCTGCATCCTGTAGCAGAGAAACAAAGAGAACATTCTACCTATGAACTCATTGTTCAGTTTCAGTGAAATATTTTTGTTTTATTGAAGTAAAACAATGTAAGCTTGGTGCCATAATAAAAATCTCACTAACTCATTTTGAGCCATCATGTCTCATTACAGTGTAGAGAAACAAGTTTCATTCTAGAGACTTAAAGCCTCCATATTCTCAAGAGTGTGTCTATTCATTCTAGACATACACAGAGGATGCACTTGTTCGACCTCTTCTATTGTTAATATAATACGAAAATTCAACTGAAGGAAAACACAGGAATACTGCTGTTGCATGCACCTGTGCTCTTGACTCCCAGGAGGAATGTATGCAGCACAGCACAGGGAGAACAGACCTGGCATGTTGAGGCTGAGAATAAGCTAACAAAGAATTCGGAGTTCATAAGGCAAAAGCTTTTCCTGGTAAAGCTTTGAAATCTCTATCAGTAGTAGCAGCTATTTAGGTATCATCTTAGTTAAGATTGCAAGAAAGGAGAGACCAAAGTTCAACCAACACCTTTTTCAATCTGCAAGTAAGCAGTATGGATTAAGTTTTCCATATCCTACAACATAATGATTCAACAGACAGTGGACAGTGAGGTTATAAATTGTTACCTACTGTTCATTACTTTACCTTGTAAGACCCAGTAAACATCACTACTTATTGCTAATTTTTCCAAAAGAGGTGCAATTGAAGTGATATTGATTTTATATTGTGCAAGGGCTTCGTTGCTGCCATTGTGAATCTTGATAGACCACTGGAGAAATAAAGAAATAAATTCAGTACCTGTATGTCTGAGGACCCTTAATTAATTGATTCCCTTGCTCCATTTGTAGCTATTTTTCATTATTTCTAAACAGATAGATTTCTTGAGTTTTCTATTCAAAAGTGCTAAAATATTCTTTTGGACCAAGCAGCTGTCCAGACAGATAATTACATTCAATCACATCATCTAAATACAGAGTATTTAACACTCAACTTATGTGTATATTTGACTTTTGACTTTTCATAAATTAAATGACACAAGATGTTTTCATTCAAAGTCTCCTGGCTTTATCTAACAATGAGGTAGAAAAGCTAGTCTTATTATTGAAAAGTCTTGGCCAGTTCAGTCAATTCCACTCTAAAAAAACTGACCACAGCAAGAGATGCATGCAAACAAAATTTGATGGCAGTTTTAAGTTCTAATATTTCCATCTGTTTTGCAGATATCCACAAAGGGAAAAAAAACCCCAAAACCAAACAAGACCCCCTCTAACTTCTGGTTTAATCTTCTATATGAAATCCATGGGAGAATGCTGTAGCCACACAAGAATTCCTCCTAACTTTTGAAAAGTATTTCCCACACTATATGAAAAATGCATGCAGCATTTTTTTAGGTATTGCTGTATCTTCTCATTTAGTAAAAACTAAAAAAAGCAAAACCAAAACAATTATCCTAAATGTAGCAAACTCTATTTATCTCCAAATAGCTACATTAAAATTTCATCATAAGACAAGTACACTGATTAATGCACTTCCTGAAAATATTATTCAATGTAAAGTAATACTTCATGAAACCAAATAACTTACAGCTGCTCTGAGAACTCACTGGAAAAAAAGAAGCAGTTTCTCCCAGCAGCTAAATACTTACTTTTGAAACACCAACAGTATTTAACAGGAAGTTAAAGCAGCACATTCCATACAACAGGAAGCCAGGAATTAAGAAGCAGAGCACGGTAGTGACATTCTCAGAGAAACTCCTTTTCCCAAAATAAGTAAGCAACTGACTTTTGTATGAGCTGGAGTTCCTCCAGCTTATAAGACTTTACTTCTATTTATAAACTGTTATGCAGGTGTCATCTTAAGACAGACATGTCCAGGCCAAAGAAGCATGACCAACCCAAGAGCTAAATTAAAGATATAGGTAAATTTCAAAGTGCAGCAAAGTCCAAGAACACATCCCAGTTTAATCTAGTGGCAGGTTACCACACCAGTGTCAGCTATGGTGAGGTTGCTGATGTATCTGATTTTTGAAGCTTTTATTTTTTCAGAAGTCTCCTAAAATAGGGAATGTTTATCTTTGTCCAACTACAGATATCATATTAAATGTTTTGTATAAATATACTAGTGTTAAAAAGAGCAGAGCCTCCCTGCATATTGTTAGCTTCTATCTCCTGCTGTCCACAAAAGGCAACAATCTATGGCTAAGGTACACATACGAGTAAAGGGAATTATTTAGCTTAGTGTCCTGTAGTTTTGCAACCTGGCCTTCTGCCTGACAGAATATTATCCATATATAATGGTATTTTCTGTATGAAATATCATCCTAGTAATGAATGCTACAGTTTCAGACTGAGAAACGATGTTCTAGGCTTATAACAATTCCTAAAGCTCAAATATTTATGTGGATCCTAGAGAGGAAGGAAACCTAAAGGCTCACCTAAAGGAAAAGGAGAATTTTTGATGCCTCAGTAAATGTGTAGAGGTCTACATACACACATGAGCAAATTCATACTTTGATGGGCATGCCCAGAAGTTTCCAGATTGGTGGAGTGCCTCAACTGTCTCTAAACCAAACTGCTTTTGAAGGATTTTGTTTTAAATGTGACACATTTTCCCCTCTTTACATTTTAGCTGGTATGAAAATATACTAGCTAATTCTTTCCAAATTCCAACTCCCAAATATTTGGAAGTAAGGGACATTAAATGTGGAAATAATGAGATGAGCATTTGTTTGACTCGACTTTGTTACAAGAACAGACTAATTAAGGGGGCCTGTTGAATTCCATTCTGGAAGTTTCAAAGAATTGGTTGAATCTTGCCAAGTGCAACACAGGTAGAAATGTCCTGCCTGATGGCAAACTGATGGGTTAAGGACACCTTTTATGGTCCTTGTCAGCCCTGTTTTCTGTGATGCTGCAACGCATAGTGGTAGAATCTTCCAGTGCAACAAGATTCCAGAACTCCAACCTCTTTAGTTGTTGAATTATCCACGTACAATTACAATCGTTACATATATATATATATATATATATACACACATATATATATATATACACACACACATATACACACACACATATATATACACGTAAAAAAGATATATGTGTGGTGAAAGAGACTACCCAGACTGGGCCATGCTCAAAAGTAGAATTTTGGGGCTGAAAAAGGTGTATTAAAAATACACCTCAGTTAGTATGCAAGTACTTTAATAATTTGCTTTTAACTAAATCCACTCTATTAGCTAGGTTAAAGAAAATTATTGCTTATTAAACACTATTGCTGACAAAAAGCAAGTACTGTACATCACACAGCTATAATAAAGCACACCTGGTATTTTAAAACTACTTTTTGTAACAGCAAATTTGCTGAGAATAGATATTTTACTATAAACTGTGTTTAACTACTTGATCATGTAACCAACTTGAGAACATTAGCTATCCTACAAGAACTTCCTTCTTTACTAAAATCTCTTATATATGTATAACTTACCGTGGCAGCTCCTACTACAATTATATGAGGTTTTGCCACAGAACCCTAAGAAACAACAAAAAAAAAGAAATTAGTCTTAAAATATTTTTAAATTATACTTATTATTAAAGACTCATATCTTAATTAACTATGACTCACTTGCCCATCAGCTAATGGCTACAAAAGATTGCAGATATATTACAGAGAACATACTCCTGGTATATTCGAGATACCCGAATTTTCATGTAATAGAATCTACAAAAGCATGAAGTATAAATAAGCACCTACAATCCTAATCAATTTAGCAGCAGAAGTTCTCTTTAAAAGCTATTTGAACGTCTTCTCCTAAGGTCAAGTAAACTGTAGGTCACATTACTGAACTTTTTATCTTAGTCTCAGCATTGTCAAACATCTGTTAGATCTACTGCACTGACCATTGTCACCTCAGAAGTCTCAGTTCCATGTAGGACAAGGACAAGGGCACAAGGAAACAAAAAGTCCTGAGCACCTCAGTACCATTTTTATCCTGGCACAGCAAGGAAAACCAGTAGCTCTCAATTTTTGTAGAAACCACAGGAAAAGAAAACCAAATGATAACTTCAGCTACCCTGATGGAAGGTGTTGTGCAAACATGAACAACAGGACAGCAAAATAATGACTGTGAGCTACTACTAAATAACTCCAGGCTATTGAAAGGTCAACAAAGGAAGAAACAAGAAAAAATTAGTTGTCAATCTGTAAATGTATTACTTGTTGTCAGAGTTACATATAGAATAACATGACAACCTGCATCATAACATGAAGCACATAAGATAATTGGTATGCTAATTGAGGAAGATATTGAAAACAAATAAAATCAAAGAATTCTTGACTTTGCAAATTACCTTCGCCCTACACTCTGAAACACTCAAATTAACATATATACAAAATAATAGAATCATAGTATATCTCAAGTTGGAATGAACCCATAAAGATCAAAATATCTGGCCACATTAAACTGGAGTCATTGCAGCCACAGAGGAAGTAAAATGCCAAACCAGACTGTAATTCTTTTAGTTCTTAATAGGATTAATTAGCCTGCTCCTAGGTTTTTCTAGTTTGCTTAGGGGTTTTCCAAATGATGCCATCCTTGGAAGATCAGGAGATACCCAGGAACATATGCACCAGTAAACATCTCCTTTTCACTACACTGAAGTCAAATTTTAGATCTCTTAAAACAAACCTCAGTCCAAGATTTGATACGTTGCCTCATAGAGCCATTAACTTCTGGATACCACAGAAAATCCTGTAAAATAAAAGCACAGTTACTCTGCAAGCTTAAAAGACAATCAGTAGATTAAAACCAAAAAATGCAAAAAACCAAACTAATTTCCCTCAATTCAACTGTAAAGAAAAAAATTTGGCTCAGTATGATTTCCTTATAGTTAGCATGAAAAGCCTGACATCTTACTCCAGCATGGAAAACAGAAATCAAAGAAAAAAAAAAAAAAGGGAGGAGAAACCCACAAAACTTTTCCCTCATGAGAAATAAATTTTTATTTGCACTTTAGGTGTTGGAATTTCACCAAGAAGATAATTTTTTAATGTCTGCCAAATGGGATGTCCTTGGGTTTCTAATGCAAGCAGGGATAAATCCAAGGTCACACCTATAACTTAGGAGAACTTGCTTTTGGCTCAGTTTTCCACATTTTTACAGCAGGTTTTCTTTGTTCCAAAGCTTAAAATAACTGACAGCATAAAATCATAATTTTCAAACAAAACCAAAACCTAACAATTTACCTTTCAACTTCACAAATTATCAGCTGTTTAAATCTAATAGTGTCATGGCTATGAAACACATTACCTGCCAGCATTCTTTTAGATGCCAGGAGCAGTGCTCAGCTTTCATCTAGAAGGACAGTCTAGACTAGTGCTTTTACGTCACCCAGGGAAAGCCATGACTTTCTAGCATTTAGTTACTCCTTAGGACAGCACTGTTGAATAGTCTAAAAATACAAGCTGAAGGGAAATGGCAGGGACTACACACGCAGAAACTATTGTGAGGAAACTTTGTAACAGAATGCTGAAACACTATCAGTAGAGAGGAAATCTCTATCTTCCACTCCCCTGGGTTGCTACATTTTGGTAGTTCACTTGAGTACTGTCAATTCATTCTTTGGCTGTGGAACCTGTGAGCAGTCACGCAGTCCTCTGCAGTGGCTGAAGAACAGAAGAGTCACTATGATGACTAGAAAGGGCAAAATTAAACTCTCCACTTGTTCCCAGTAATTTTCTCTTTTGATGGCCAAGTATTTTCCACATTTGGATTATTGGGTCAGAGCCAGTCTGAATATGAAAATTCAGCTACCATGCCAATAATGTCAAAGAGCAACACTGCATCAAAACAAGGAAGCAACAGACTGGGAACATATTAACTACCAGACATCTCCCAAAAGCCCAGACCTGCCATCTCAAATCTTGGTGGTTAAGGAGTTTTGAAGATGTGATCCTGTCAGTCTTGCCCAATGAAAATCACACTGCAAATCATAGTCCCTTCATCCTGCCTTGTTTTCTGTCTCATCTTTTGCAGCATTCAGATAAGCACATGATGAGCTACATCAGACCTGATTGAAAAGGAATCCTACAAACTAAATTTTGGGTGAACTGACTCCTGAAAAAACCCACTCTACATCTTACCAGTGCTAGTTACAGCACAAACACAGGCACTGTGAAAGCCAACAGCGTAGGTCAGCACATGCTTAAATTGCCATGGGCTTACACCCTAAAATGTTATTCTGTACCCTAAATCTTAACCATGTACACAAACAAATACTGAAAACCCACATTCAGACAACTCAGCAAACACACTGCTTCTTTGGTTTGTTTTGGTGAATAGAGAATGAGTTTTCTTCAGGGCATAAATAAATACATGACTAGCACAATCCCAGCACTGCTGACAGCTGTCATGGGAAGCAAAGAAAGCTATTGAGGACAGCATTTCCATTGCCAGGGCAGAGGAGAACAGAGTCCTTCAGAAAAAACTAGCCTCAAGTACTTTGTTTTCTTCTTTTAAATGTCCACATTATAATCAACATTGTGGTTATTTCTCCATGCAAAAACAGTGGAAGGAATACTTGTTGGGATAGCATAGAAAACTCAGTGTCAATTACAGTTACCAATTCAAGGAAGACTCAGATACATATTTTTACAGCATGAAAAGAGTAAACTTCCTGGAAAAAGGTATGCTTGGAAAGGCCAAATTGTAAGATCTGACAAAAATTATACACAGTTTCAGAACTTATGCCCAAAACTAAACCACAATACAAGTACCCCATGCCAAATTCTCTTAAAATATAGTATGTTAAGATACACTGTTAAACATCTCTGAGATATTTATAAAGAATGTTGATGGTCTTAAGCTTCTTTTAACTTTTCAGCTCTGACAGCATTTTCAATTACGCTACATGAAATAATAACATGATTATGGTTTTCAATTTAACACTAGATAAAAACTTACCACTTTAATTGAAGCAGATTTATCTTCAAATGGGATATTTCCATGCTGTCAAAAAAAAACCCCAAAACAATAAAAACAAAGTAAGAAAAACTTTCAGAATGAAAACAAAATATTTACATACCTATGCTTACTTACTCTCACCCAATATTTATCTTCAGTGGAAAGGATTGTTCTTGTATAAACTTGTCAGTGTACTCACAAAAAATATTTATATTGCTTTATTGATAAAACAAGCTACTAAAATAAACAGGGCTTTTTTCCTGGAAGCAATCTAGCCAACAAAGTCTGAAATGCTTTCTGTTCACTCAGTTACAAAGGTATCAAATATTTTCCTAAATTTAGTCTCCCAGCATAAGAAAAACTTATGACTTTTCCTCTTTCTTTTCTTACACTGCCTTTTTCTAGCCATTCTTTTCATCTGCCCATCTCCTTTACACAAAACAACCAACATAGTTTTAATTAAAAAAGAAAATAATCTCAGGCACAAAAACAATCTAGAATGCATTATTAAATTTTCTGAGTGAAAACTGTAAGAAACCCAGAAAGGAAGGAATCAGATATGCATATACAATACTCCTCTAAAATTATTAAATACAGTATTAATTTCGGTCCTGGTCCATAAGAACAAATGTACTTCTCTTCTTCAAACTGAGATCTTGATTGCAATAACATTTGACAAAAAAACCTCTCAACTCAAAATCTATTACAGCACGCTATCTGATAATCTCACCATTACTTTTGGGCAGCCAGAGTGACCTAACTCATTGACTAGGAAAACCAGAGTTCTTGGGCAATCAAACATCTTGTTTTGACAGGTGGAAGTGACTGCATGCTGGACATGCTGCCAGCCTGCACTTCTAAGTAACAGAATTACTAAATAATTGACAAAGCTGATATACTGTTGAAAGTAGAAGATGTCTTTTCCATCACACACGTACACACATCTATGAAGACATGTGCCCAAGGAGTACCATACAGTAAAGGAATCAGCATTCCGATTCCATTCACCAAACAATACACCTAAATCCTTTCTGCCTCCTTCCACCTGGCTGCAGTTTACATACTTCACCTTATAAAATTCAGACAGTTCTTCATCACTGATTGAAAAGAAGGTAAGACCTGAAGCTGTTTTTAGTTTCAGCTTCAAGTAAGACCTGGAAATTTGTCATTGCCCCAAGGATTTTTACGAACAGATTAGATCAGCAATTTAACTGACACTTTAAATGACAAATTAGAAGGCATGAATTACTACTATTTAAAAACACACAAAGGAGCAATCATTTTCTCATCAAGAAACCAAATACGAAGTGTAAATTGCTATGGGACAAGTCAGCTTCATTAATTTATTCCCAGGCTGCTGCAAGCTTTCTCTTGAGCTTCCTAGTTCTCTTCTCAGATTCACAATTATCTCATCTGTACTCAAACAATTATTTTGGTCTAATCTTGTTCTTCTTCAAAAGACCTTTCTGTGCCTCTCCTTTCATATGGCTAGGCCAGAAAAAAAAAGTATAATTTGCTTTTTTGAAGCTTAGAGAAGAGTTATGAGGCAAATTGGGAACCAAGAAAAAAAAAAATCAATCACCAAAACAAGCTCTCTCACCTTAATTCCCTCTTCTTTGACTTGAGGATTTATCAGTTTTATGAATGAATAGAACAGCTGTCGAATTCTAGAATCTCCTATAAACACAACATGCTTGTCTATGAGGCAATTTTTTGCTTCACTGTAAAACAAAACAGCAACAGTAATGTTACAGAAAATATGTATCTTAGAAAGAAGTATTCTGAAAATCTACAGAGCTATATAGATAATTCTAAACATAATATCCTGCTCTAAGACATGATAATTTTTTTTAAACATGCTGAATTAATAAAGAGTTTATTGCAATTTGCAGAGAACTGAAAATGAACTCTACTGCTAATGGGATTAGGCAAACAACTAAGTAGTTTTTCCTATTATGTGTGCTACAAATACAGTGGTTTCAAAATAGTAATATACAGCATAGCTCTAAAAAAAAAAAAAAAAAAAAAAGAGTTCTCTTACTATTGAAGTGAAATGAAAAAAGTGATTGGTAATTTTATTTGGGATATTTTTACTTGCAATTTGACACGTAAGGTCAGCAATCTGAGAATGACATATGCAGCCTCATGTGGCTCTCCATAACTTGTGCCAGTATCTCCATCACCAACATCTATTTGTATTTTTATACAGAAATACAACTATGGTAAACACTGTAGACACACAGATAAAGTACTTGGAAAAGACTTCTTTCTGATAAATGCTGTATATTTTTGAAAGCCTAGAGAATCAGATAAAAAGTGAACAATAGCTGACACTGCAATTACTATAGCTGCAGTTGAACAACAATGACTATTCTTTCGAAATGAACAAAATACATGAGTTTCCTTACCTATTTTTATACTTATGCATCATACAACTGTGAGGTTGCCATACTTTCTCTCCAAGAAATCTCCCACTGGACAGAAGGTACTCACATGTATCACCACCTTTGAAATGTTGTATTAAGATTAGAATTCAGATACATGAAACGTAAAACAGAGCCCTGTTGCTATTATAAAAAATAATTTGACAACATCTGAAAACCAGAAATTGAAATAATCAACAGCAATAAACAGATTTAACTGACTGTAAATACATCTTGTACAAGTTTCTGCAAGTTGCTTTCTCATTTATTATACAATACTGTTCTGAAAATTCCACCCCTATCCAATGTTAGTGATCTCACTTCTGCTGCCAGAAAGATGTTGTGACTTAGAATGGCATTTCCTTTAAGAGACACCAACCCACTCTGTTATCTACTATCCAGAATACACTAATATAAATTAAAGAATACAACTGTTGAATAAAATAATCTTCTACACAGAATCACCATGCACAGCATCTTGTATAGAACACAAAATTCATCACAAGGTTTGCAAGCCAGTCTGCTGTATCTCCGTTTATGACACACAGTCATGTGGTCACCTTAGAACAGGTGATATGGGTTAATACAAAAAAAACCCCAATCAAACCCAAACATTTACACATCGATTTGCTGATCATTCTGAACCTCACTTATCTTTTCCAGTCAATAAGTTTTATGCTAATTAAGATTAATCACTTTACAGGTGCTGAAGTTTCAGGTCATGTTAAATTTCAAACATCTCAGTTATGAAATCAGTGACTGTTGTCTTCCCAACTCCATGTCAGATTCTGCTGCTTTATAACTGAACACCATTCACTGCAAAAGAAGTTGCCCTCCAACATTTTTGTCATACTTGGCATTTCCGAGCACTGACAAACAGGGAAATGGTTGTGAATGAAATGGTAGGGACTTGTTCTAGCTTGTGCAGAAACAATGTACCACTGCCCATACCTAACACTTTCTGTGAAACCTTCACTCCATTAAGTTAAAGTCATTCTTTGGTTTTCAGGCAACACAATTTCCCTGATTCTCGAAGTTGCAAACTCATGTAAACTATCATTTCAGGTAAGCTGCATAAAAAAATGAAACTGTCAGGAATAATAAAAAACTAATCAAAAGCAACATGAGCTAGAAAATGAGGTGGCTTAGAGCTAATACTGATAAGAAGTCCTCCACTTTGCAGATGAGGACAACTAGGAGATGTATCAAAGTGATGTAAGAGTGAACTTTGTAAAAGAATATCAGACTCCCTCTGAAATCCACTAACTTGCCGAGAAAGATGTGTAAGAAAATCAGGACAGTTATTCATGATCAGACCAATGGCCAGTCTAGCCTGGTATTCTGCATTCAACAGGGGCCAAATGCAGATGCTCAGAGATGAATAAGAGGACAAATAAACATTATGTTCTTGCCTAATATTCTCCCAACTATGTTCATTTCAAGGACGTAATGAAATGGACATGCAGTCTTCAAGTTCTTAGTACCCACAGAAACCTTCTAGAGTTTTCCTATATCCAAAGCTGATGCTTGAAGAATCATCTGCCTTTATTTGAAATACGGTTTCTACTAGATTTACTTGGGTAAATCTAGTAGAAAATCCCTGGTTCTTCCATGGGACAAGGTAGTTTGGACTTACGTCTGTCATGATTTGTGGACCGCTATCACTTCTTTCTCAATCAAATTTTCAAGACTGGAGGATGTTCTTAAATTGAGGTCATGACTCAAGCTCGGTACCTCTCTACTCCACGGCACTCCCACCACAATAATTGCCCATAAATAGATGAATCCCTCATCCTAGAATATGTTCACTGAAGTAACATTCCAAACATCACACACTGAATAAATTTTAAACATAGAGACAATATTTCATGTCCAATGCCTTCTTTCCCAGCTAGGTACTGATTATCTTACTATTGCCCTGAGCAATATTACAAAGTTCCCGAAACTCATTCAGGCCATTACTGACATTTGATATCTTCCTTTAAACATAACAGTAGAAAATAAGGGGAGAAGATGAGGCAAGGGAATAAAACAAAAGTGAAACAGCAGCCAAGAAAGTAAAGTAGAGGTTAAAGACCAGACAGTGCCTCCAGAAATGCTCAGCTCTGGCTTTAGTAGATGAAATAGCAGCCAAAGAACTATGCTTATTTAAATACACCATAACTTCTTCTTAACCATCAATAAGATCTTAAAAGAAAAAGCCAAAAAAACAACAAAAAATCCAATCCAAAACCTAAGAATTGCGAGTGCCACTGTACACACAAAACACAGACCATTCTTTTTAAACTTTATGTAAATTATCCTTCCAACACATTAACTTTTATGCTTGCTTAGATACACACTGTTATAGTTATACAAAGTGTATAGTTTTTCTGAATTTTATTATGCTCATTATTCTAATTTATCATTCCTCAAAAATCATGGTTATTCCATTGAAATAGTGAAATCTCAAAGTCCTCATTCAGCACCAGAGCAGACTAAGTTTCACAAAGCTTTCTCTAAAATGCATACTCTCAAAGAGCCGGCAATTCAATTATTCTCTATTATTCAAAGTAAAAAATATAGTTTTAAACAGTCTACTACTGTTGATTTTAAGAATGCAAAATTTAAATAAATTCTTATTTCCAAAAAGGTTTAGGATTGTACCTTTGAAATACAACATCTGAAGAACACAAAGCACTAACTTCACTGGATAGTATGTAAACATTCAACTCACTAAACTCTTCACAAATTAAAGACAGTCTGTACTTTCTCTTTATTCACATTCTTTTGCAAAAATATGTAGGTGACCCCTAAATACAACAGTCTTCCTAAACATAAATCTGACCTTCCAGAACCCCAGTTGAGCATTTTTTTCATACAAGTAAATTTTATACAGGCATGTTTGACTGGGAAGTACACTGGGCTGCCCATATCTATAATATGTACTGGCATGGCTGTGGCCAAAATTAGCTAAAACCTTTACATGTAGTGACAAAGAGACAAAAGGGAAAGTATAAAAGCACAACAAACACTGCAATCCTTTATGTGACATGGCCGGGCAACTTCAAACCTATTTGCAGCCCTACCTCATACATGCCCTGGAAAACAGGATAACCTTCTTTGGGATATATATAACCCTTTCTGATATAAAAATCTCGGTGTAAAATATCTTATGCATAAAACACAGTGCTTTCTTGTGATCATTTAAAATGTACTACCTAATTTCATTTTTTAGTTGGTACTTTATGTGTTATGGCACAGTAGCAATCAATTTACCTATTCAATAATTCCTAACATTTGAGATCCTTTAGAAGTTACTAGGTTTCTGTCCAGGCCACAGAATTTTATTCTAGTTCATTATTTCTCATAGAGAAACTGTTTTATTCTTCTGCCATTTGTGTTGCCCTTTTGAACACACTTTCCAAGTTCCATTATACCACTACTAGGAGTGGGTGACCAACACCACTGAGAATAAGTGAGGTGCCAGTGAGCTTCAGCTGTGTACTATCAGTCAAAACTTCTGTTTTTTTCATTACTTGTCAAAAGTATTGCAGCATTTCCTGAATTTCAACTGTTTGATACTGCTGCAGGTTTGCAGAATGATCTCTTATATAAAAGCACCTCTGCTTTTATCTATCCTAAAAATTTTTACACCTTCCTTTTCTAAACTTCTCTTTTGAACATTTTATGTTCACAGAAGCCCAAATTAGTAAGTCTATTTTCACTATGACTCCATACCTTTTAAACCTCCTACCTTTTAATACTTATGGGAAAACCTTTCCCTTGCCCTTTAATTGCTTCAAGAAACTAAAAGCCTGAGGTGAGAAAACTTGAAAGGTTTGTAATAATTCATACTCACTATATCAATTTACATAAAGGCCAGCAGATTCTCACCATTTTGTAATCTAAGACTCACCCCCCCCCATTAATTCTCCCAGAATACACTGAAATTATGCATATTTTATTTTCCTTGTAACCTGCTTTATATGTCAGTCCCCATTTTCTCAGTCTTGCAATCTCTCTTTAAAAATTTGCCACCCTCCTCCTGTCTAGTTTTGTGACTCTTCTGCCTTAAGGAACACTGCACAACAGGCAAGTTCAATTACCTCATGCTTGAGCTACGCTAGAATTCAGTAAATGCTTACAAGTCTTCCAATTTAATACTAGTCCGTTTATCAGACTTACTGACATGCCAGCTAGAGGGTGAATCTAGGGAACTGCAAACATAAAGATCCCTACCCCTTTTCCCATTTCCACAATGAGCTGCCTCAGCCTCGTCTCCCATGAATGCTGGCAGCCAAGTGTTAGAACACGAAACCAGCTGCGCTACAACAGAGCCGCGGTCATCTCCCCACAGATCAACGTTTTCATTTACCCACAAAAACATACCACATCTTTTAGCGTGACACAGAAACAAGTAAATATTTCCTTCAGCAGCTCCATTTGCATTTACGGATCACGCCAAGATTCTCTGCTCCAGGGCCAGAACAGCCGTAGCGAGGAGGAGCGAGCAGAGCTCGCAGCGCCCCGTAACCGAGGTGTGCCCGTGCGCAGCCGGCCACGGCCACAGCCACAGCCAAGCTCGCTCCGTCCCCACAGCTTGTCCACAGCCGCCAACAACATGTGAAACCAAGCAGCTCTTTACGTCGCTTCATCCACCAAAGCGGCTTGGTTTCGTTATGTTTGAGGCGGTGATTCAAAGAGTGAAACAATATATACCAAATCTCGTACCAATTAAGACTTTAACCACTAATTGTCAGGTAATTAGCCATTAATCATGCCGTACGGAAAAAAGTGACAGGGAAGAAGTCATTCTCTCCCACCGCAGCTTCACCTGCCGCAGGCCGGGCCCCCGGAGCTGCGGAGCGCTCTCAGCGCAAACGCCGCAGCCCCGCCAGCCTCGCTCGCTCCCCTCACTCCGCGGGGCCTCGCCCGACCGCCGGGGCCTGCGGCGACCCCCAGGCCGGGCCCGCAGGGCCCCGCGGGTCGGGTCCCCGCCGCCGCTGTGCCCCAGGGTCGCATCCCTCGGCAGCCAGCGACCCGGCCCGCCGCGGCTGCCCCGGGCGGAGGGACCCGCCGCCCTCCCTGCGCGGCCGCGGTTCCCGAGCTCCGCCGGGGTGCACCGGGGCTCCGCCTCCCCTGCCCGGCAGCCGCGGCCCCCCGCGGAGCGCCCGCGGCCGCCCCCTCACCTCGGTAGCGGCGGGAGGCGGCGTGGCAGGCGGTGAGGAGCAGGACGGCGCCCAGCGCCAGCGCCTTGGCGCTCCTCACGCTGAAGTAGTAGTTGATCTCCCGCTTGCCCCCGGTGTAGGCCAGCGCCGCCATCTTGGCTCCTCCATGACAACAGCGTGCGATGGGGCGGGCGGGCGCGGCGGGGCAGCACTGGGTCCCCGCCGGCGGCCAACGCGGACCCCGCCGCTGCCGCCGTCCCCGCCGCCGCGGTCGAGAGCAGCCTCACACCCCGCGGCCCGCGGGGCGGAGCCGGCGCCCCTCTCGTGGTGCCGCCGCTTCCCCTCAGCCGCCAGCGGGCGGCCCCCGCGTTCGCCTCCCCGCCCCGCGGCGCCGTGGGGCTGCGGTGGCTCCCGGTGGATTCAGCGGGATCCCACGGAGCCCCGCAGCTGAGCGGGCGGCGGCGAGGCGGAAACCGCCTGGGGACTGTGCTCCGTGAACGAGGAGCTGGGCGAGGGTCTGTGCCGCGTACGGTCCGTGACGGGCACGGGACAGTGAGGGCTTCCTTCCAAATAATGAGGCTTTTAACACTTGTCACTCTTCTGTTGACAAGGAAATGGTCATTCCAGGCTGGGAAGACGCTCACTCCCTCTGAACCCGGGTAACTGTACAAGCAAGCTGACACACTCACAGAATCACAGAATCAATTAGGTTGGAAAAGACCCCTGGGATCATCGAGTCCAACCTGTGACCGAACACCACCACGACAACTGGACCATGTCATTAAGTTTAAGGAAAGACATGCAGTCTTTCCTTAAACACCTCCAGAGATGGTGACTCCACCATCTCCCGGGCAGCCCTCTTTTTTCTGAAAAAATTCTTCCCACTGTTCAACCTAAATCTACTGTGGTGCATCTTAAGACTGTTAGCTCTCATCCTATGGCTATTTGCCAGGGAGAAGAGGCTGACCTCTACATATTTAACTGGATTTGAGGGATGCATTAAATGATTGCTGAAATCAAACTTTGCTAAGATTTACAAAAGGGAAATTATGCTCCTCCACAAGCAGTTACCTGAGCTGGGCAGGAAATCTGGGCTCAGAATCCAATCCCTCATCAGTGGTGGGGCTGGGAAGCTGCCACCAAACCCGGCAGGCCCGAAGCAGGGCAGGCTGTCATGGGAGAGACATTTCCACAAAATAAAGTAACCATACATATACCGCATAAACAAATTTAAAACTGCTATAAATACATATTATGGTATTGGCTTTTTGCAAATATTAGGGTGGATAGTATATGTGTGGTGTTGAAATGCTTTTTAAGATATAGTTTTCTTTAGGACTGACATAAGCTGATAAAGTGTCTTTGTAGTAAGTGAGCTACCTGCTTGGTTGGATAACACCCAGTGAAGACACCTGCTACTGATGTACCAGTCACCAGCACCAACATATATATCTGCCAACATATAGGCTATGCTTCTTTTCTATTCAAGTCTATCTGTTGATTCATTCACTTTTTCAGTATTCTTTTAAAACAATAAAAGCACTTCACTATTTTAAAGTGTTCAGGTTTATTCTCTCAGGGAAAGAGAGAGAAAAATGGTACCAAAAAATGGTACAGACTAATAGGTACTTGGCTGTGTTTTTCCAGAAAAACACCAACAAACCAAACTAAAACAATGACAACAACAAAAATCCAAACAAGTCAACCTCTCAGTTCTAGTTGTAGTAGGCATTCTTTTACTCCATAAATGAAAAGTTCTCGATACAATATTTTTTTCACCTGCCTCATTAAAAAAGCCAAGAATTTTCAAAGCCTTCTTACTATGAACAAACCTTATTGTTTGTTAAAATATTCCTGTTAATGCTTTAGTTTTTTGTCTTCATTTCATAGTCACTTTACACTTTTTGAAGCAACTTAAACACTTTTAAACATATTCTCTAGCTGGAATATTTTGTAGCTTTTTGCATTGTTGCTCATTAATGATTCTTTAAAGTCTTATGAAATATATCTTTCCTGCAGTCATTGACGACCACAGATACTCTTCTTCACTGTTTATATAACATTTGTTCATGAACAAGTGTTTCACGAGACTTTTTATCCAACCAAAGCATATTTACTTCAGCCTGTCTCATCCTGCAATGTAATTATGTTAAGTTTGAGGGCTATGTGGAAGGTCTGCAAAGTGCATTTATGACCACGAGTGCAACTCCTCAAAACTTACCCAATTTACTGGTGTTACTTTCTTTAAGCAGTGTAGGTGCAGAAAGCATAGGGTTCTGCCAGAGCTCCTGGGGTGTTGATTCAGCTTCTTAGTTAGGGTGGTTACAATGCTTAAGCAATAATTTATTATTTTATTCTCAAAATAAAAAAAAAAAAAACGAATTCAAGTCTCCACAACAAGATTCTCTTTGGCGAATTTCAGGAATCTTTAACTAAATCATCTTCTTTCTCTAAGAGACCAGCAAGAACTAAAATGCTATCAAAACAACTATACTTCTGTTTATAAATATCTCAGAAAATTATAGCCCTTAGAAATAGTAATTCTGTCCTGCAGCCTTTGGAGGGCTCTTTCAGAACTGCTGCCTGCTGCTGCAAGTCCCTGGGCATTCCTTACTTGCCATTAAGATTTAACACTGATCTACAGTAATGCCTGAAAACTCCACGTGTGGATTTCAACTGTGCTATTTTAGGACTGTACAAATACATGCTGATACTGTTGCATGTTGACTATCTTAATTAAGATAATCCCCCTGTGTATATAAAATATTTATATGGATGTGAGCAAGACATCTGCTTTTGCTTCCTTGCTTCTTTGGAGACATGCTTAGGTGTTTGATAATTGATATCCCCTTCATTCAGTCAGAAGCTTTTGGCTGAAGTGCTGTGAGTTAGGAAGTGGTTTGCATGCATGTGGTCTCACTTCTAACAGGTTCCTCCTTGTTTTTCACAAACTAATTGAATTTGGCATCGTGACATATACCTAAGCAATTCACACCAAAACCACTATGTATAAAAGGCCTGATAGAAAAAGCTAATTAGGGATTGCTAAGTACCCTATAAAGCCAACTCCAGACATGAACTATTATTAGCCAGAAGCAGCTTTGTAAATCATGTACCTTCTTTATGTCTGCTGATCAACTTAGTGTGCTGGAAGTAAACCAAAGGTCTGCTAGCTCTTCTGATCAGTCAAACCTCAGCTTTTGGTTTGCAAATGCTACAGCTTCCTGTTGGCTTTCTGCTTGCTCTGCTGAAAGCATCAAGGGCCGTCAGTGGAAAGGGAACACTTAGAGCAGCCACAGGGAGAAGACCCAGAGAAAAGTGTTTCCTTTGAGAGGCAGAGGAGATGTGACACTGCTGTGCATGTGGGATAATGTCTATGAATATTAAAGGTAAAATGCCTCTGGAAGAATTTCACATTTGTTTTTTCTACAGTATAGCCTTGGGTTAACTGGATTAATTACTTTCATAAGAGGCTGTGGTGTTTTATATGGTCACTAATGACTGATGCTGTCATTACTGTGGTTTTTGGCTGCTCTATTTCCTCTATGAGTCAATCTAATAACAGTCAGGAATGAAAGAGTTCATCCCACCTAATTCCACTCACTCATAGAGAACCAATCTATTTTAAACTAATCACCCTCCCTCTGTAGAACTGAGAGAGCAAGTAAAGTGCTAATTTACTTGTAAGTTAGAATAAGGTGAATAACTTACCATGAAGAATGGTGGCTTTCTGTTCAATTTCAAAAATAAATTTATATTGGACAGATGTCATTTATACAGGTATAATTCAGATGAGGTAATTCTTCTTTGAATGCTTCTTGACTTTGCTTGGCAAGCTCAGCATAAATGGAAGGAGAATTTTGTGCCATGGGTCAAACCTGGCATGCACATATGAGTTTGCTGATAAACTGAGTTCACAGGAGAGGTCCGTCCTCCTGTTTTCAGCATTACAGGCATGTGTAGCATCTCAAGTTGGAGCTACTGTCCTCAGGCAAAGGCACAATGTAATCACAAAGACTGGGAGTATGTAAGATAAAGTGGCTACTGTAGTATAAAGTCAGATGTCACAGAGAGCTGATATTTAATATTCTCAGTCAGAGGAATAGTAGAGCATTCTCATGTGATATTTTCCCCTTTGAGTTTGTGTAGGTTTATAAGAGTGTAAATAATTTTTCACAAGTATTTATAGCAAGGAATATAAGCCCCAGAGCTAGGAAAAAAATTATCACTTACCTCTAATCTTGAAATTTCCTAAGGAAAATGATCATATGTTCATAAGGAACACACTGGGTTTGTTTAATATAATAAGTAGAATATTCCCTACATTAACTTACAGGTTTAGTGTTGACTAATTAATTGGTAGGTCCTGCCATACCCCAAACCATATCACTTCTTAATTTAAATGTTGCAGCACTGCCAGATTGCTCTGTTCAAATTTTAATTCCAGAAATAAAGCTATATTTCCAAAGGATTCCTGGGCGGTGTAGTATTTTCAAGTACAGCTTTTGCCCGGGCAGCTTTTGAGTACCTCCCAAATGGTGGCATCAGACATTTTAATTGCTGTGTTTTCAGCCTTATAATGATAATCAATTTTCCTCTAAGAATCAAGTTTCCATGTGGCATG